CAGAATGGCTGAGGATACCCCTGAAGAATACGCTATGATGGAAGAAGATGAGGGGAGCGATGCTGCCGGCTCTTCGAAGAAGAAGAAAAAGGTATGCAACCTATTCAAATTGCTTAAAAAAGACCGAAGAAAGGTTTTTTACGTTATTAAAAGCATTTTTCCAACGATTCTCTGTAGCATAAAAGGCTCTGGTGCAAAGAAAATGCGAGGTTCAGGATTTGGAGCCAAAATTAAGGGAAAAAGGAATAGTTTCGAAGTTTAGCTACCTTTTTCATCTTTTTTGCTTAAAACGTTGCGTTTTTTGGCTCTGAAAATTGGTGGATCTATAAATTTTGTTGTAGCAAATGTATATTTGGGCTGGGCATTCGTGACCTTATGTTGGGCTTAGCAGCTATAAAACACCTAGCCAGGCCTTTCTTAACCCGGAAAGGCTTGGCGTAGTGCTTGTCTGATCCAATCAAACATGTCTAAATAAATGATGCACACAAGTAGAACGATCGACAGTAATCAGTGACCCGCGGGGGAGGGGGAGGAAGGGAGAGGGAAAGTTGTGGAACCAAGGTTTTTGTAGATAAAAGATTATTCAGTACTTCTGCTTTTGACCTCCTAATTCAAGGTCCAGTGGATTTTGAAGGCTAATATCAAAACTTTGGTCAGTTAAAAGTTTGAAGGCTTCGGTTTTTTAAATTTCAGCTTTCGAGCTTATGTTGTTGAGTTGAATGACTGGGAGATGTGCAAGCAGCAAAATCTTGTCAATTTGCACTTGCACAGATGCAACAAAACCGCCCAGAAATTGTATAAAATTATGTTTTTTCGGATTAATTTTGTCAGTTGTATGCAATTTTAGGTATATATACCTGGTGTAAGCCGACCGTTGCGTGAGGACGAGGAATGGGAATTTGATCCTGAAGCATATCGCATGTATCATAGCTTCGAAACAAGTAATATTTGAGGGTTATGTCTAAAATAACCCACGTTTAGAGGAAGCTGATTTAGAACCCTATGCTGATTCAGTAAAATTTCTCAAAAGAACAGAGGAGCGGTAGAAGGCTGAACCAAAATTGGACGGTCCAGTTAGGGCCGAAGGAGGAGATGAAGTTGTTAAGTGGTTTTTTGCGGAAGCCAACGATCTTTTTGCCTTAAGAATCTCCCGGTATTATACAAAAAATGAGTAGATCAATCTTGGAAGAATTTTAGCAAATTTTGAATACGTGAATCAAACGTATTTCTTAGTCTGATTTTCTGGATGTGCAGTTCATAGCTTCCCCAGTTACTTTTGGCCTCTGCTTCATCGTCTAATTATTCTCCTTCTGGCAGTTTTGACGTTCCCATCTCATATGTTAGTCTCATCCTCTTCCATTTGCTCCATCACTTTTATTACTTTCATGCTATTACACTTTCTCTCCTTCTCTTTCACTTTTCCTTCTTGCAAATTAGTTGCATGCCTTTTCAATACATGGCTGGTAGGAGGAGGCTGTACTGACGATTCCCACTCCTACCCGCATGCACTGTTCGGTCTGTGTTTACAGCTAAGGGATGAAACACAGACAGACTGCATTGTAAAATGTCTTCTTATACATGACACCTAATTCCAGTCTTCTTACTCCACTATTCCTGCTAAAGAAATTGCTATCTGAACCGCTTTGCCCCCTTCCCTCTCGTTTTTCTTGCCCATTAGACTCGAAACGTTTGTCATGACACAGACATGTTATCAGATCTCTGCATACACAGACTTGCTTATCTGGGAGATCTAAATGGCACTTCCTGTTCTTTATTAGTTGTCAAAATTCGATTGTGTTCCTCTCTACGCTGGGCCTACAGTGCCAAACAAACTGCATATGTTAACGTATCAAAAACTTCAGGCGGGTAGAAGGCTGTACTAATGCTTCCCTCTCTCCTGTTCGATCTGTGTTTACAGCTAAAGGATGAAACACACAAATTAACTACACGTAAAGTGTCCTCCGGCGCATGACACTTAGGACTAGTCCTTCATATTCTTCTGTTTCAGGCTCCCGTCCTGTTGCACTGTCCTAGCCAGAGATATTTATTGTTTGTATCTTTAAAATTTTTGAAACATTTAGACTTTTTGAGATGATATTAGGGTGTACTGAATATATCTTTGGTGTATGATGAGTATCATCAACTTGTTCTGAACGATGCCATTTCTTGGCTCACCACGAGTTTCTTTTGTGAACAAAGTTACCGGCCTTTCTCTGATTATCTATTTACAGGATGGCCATGCTTGAGTTTCGATACGATTGATGATGAGCTTGGTGACGGGCGAAGCGGATTTCCGCTTAGCTGTGATCTGGTTGGCGGAACACAGGCCGAAAAAGCGATGAGCAACGAGCTGATTGTCATGCGACTCTCAAACTTACATCCAATTGAAGGTCTCATTTCACTTCACATACTTTCCTGATAAATGTTTTAAAGAGTTTACTTATATTTTATGCTGTGACTTCAACCAGTTTTCTGTTGTTTTTGAGCAATTTTTCAAAAATTTCAAGGACCTTTTTGAAAAATAGCTAGGGTTTTCAACCTTTCGAGACTTAACATGTTTCTCGTTTACCAGGCTGTAAAATTTTAACTGACTTTTTCTATTTTTAAAGGAACCGTATTTTTTTATTTTTTCACTGGCTTCTGAGGAAAGGGAAGCTTTATCAATTTATCAGTCAAATTTGGCTTAATTTTAGATGAGGAAGCATCGGACAGTGAAGACATTGATGAGAGTCCGGACAGCAAAGAGCCGAAAATGCATGCTGCAGCACTGTCGCATATAGGCATTGTGAATCGCGTGAAGGTAATAGATGATTGTATCCATCAATGTCAAAATTACTTCCTTTGCATTTACCCTATATGAGGAACAGAAACATTTGAAAGTAACTTAAGTATTGGAGTATTTTATTATCAACCATCACTTGACGAAGCAGCCGATGACTCCTTTTTTATGCGTTTTGTGCTGTGTAACAGCAATACAAAACGCATATTATTACGGGGTTGTCTGTGTGTGTGTCCGCAGCAACTTGTCCGCAACTTTCACTCGGAAACCACAAAAGCTAGGAAGCTGAAGATTTAGGGAAACGTTCCCCATCCACGTGTGACCCCGCAAATTTAAATTCAGCTTCCCCGTACCCGCGAGTAACACGTATGGTCCCGTGAAAGTTTTACGGGTGAATATCTCGGGAACCACGGAGTCTAGGAGGCTGAAATTTTAGGGTAATGGTCCACGCGCAACCTAGCCCATTCAAATTCAGCGTTCCCGCGCTCTTGAGTATCACCTACGGCCTCGTGAAAATTTTGGCGG